TCTAGAGATGTTATTTTAGAAAGATAGCAAATATTGAGCTCTTATGGTTATTTCAGAATGTATAATTATATGTATATATAAATGTGGCCCAAGTGGGAGATTGTTGGGAGATTTCCATATGTGGACCAATATATTTATACATATAATATAAAGAATTATACATTAGACGCTATCTAAATTCAAGCCAATTAAATTCGTGATCTGTTTAAGTATTAAATTATTAATTGGCTTATGTGGCATCTTAATTAATTTTTGTATGGAATTAATTTGTGTAGAGGCCAGGTATTTATTTTATTTTAATGATTGGCTGAAATAAAATATTTACACTTTAAGTATATAAGGGTCGTGGTTCCCAGTTTAAGCGGTTAAGTTCTCATTTCCCTCATTTTCCATCTTGAGTGAAAAGAAGGGGTCTCTCGCTCTTTTGGAGAACACCGCTCTAAACGTGGAAGACCGAAAACCTCAAATCTGCATTTCAATGGATTCAGGTACGCTTCCAAAATTCTTCTCGATGATTTGGCATGTGTTTTCGGAGACGAACAAATTGATTTTTGTGTCTCCATTAAATCCTAACAGTTCCTTTATCATTCCAACTATACACATATTTTGGAATAATTTTCATCTATCATGAAAACTGTAAATGCGACATTACTATACAATGAAATTGATTTCACACTGCCTTCAACGTAATAGTTCAAAAGTTCGTCATAGTTGAGTTTTATACTAGGAAATTTTGGTAATGCCTTCAACACTCCCTTAGCATCGATGAAAATATTTATCTATTGCTTAGTCAGCAAAAGGTTTCCATATTTAAGGAAAGTCAAAAGAAAAAAATATGTAGTTTTTCAAAGTTGATTGATGCAGCACAATGAGCCAATTTCAAGCATGAATTAATGGGATATTATGTAATTTTGGATTTTGATTCCTTAATTCATCACAAAAGAAGACCATTTACTGGATCTTGAACATAAAGATCAATCAAAACCTTCATTAATCAAACATTCAAGGGTGCAAGGAGTTGTTCTTCGCCTCTGATATCCTCCATTTAAATCCACATTTGCACCCTTTATTTCGAAATTCCGTAAAATCTACACCGTGTTCTCTTTCAAGACTAGTATGATTTTAACCTTGCGGAGCAAAATCGTAATAACTAAGGTAGAATTGATGTTGCACTAAGAAACAATTTCAAGCATTAAGCATGCAAATATTATGGATTTTTGGACTTTAATTCATCAGGTGAATATATGGCCCCCTCTATCACATAACAACAACATTCATAAATGCTTGAATGTTAAAAGAGAAAAGGATCAAAATGGTCACTCAACTTTTTGTGAGGGACCAAAATAGTCCCCAACTCTTTTGAGGGACCAATTTGGTCCCTTAACTCTTTAAAATAGAGTTTTCTTTTTTTTTTTGTTCTAACATTCAATGTTGAAGTTAATGATATTAAATATAAGGGTATTTTGATCATTTTTTAATAAAAATTTTATTAAATATAATTTTTCAAGTAATTATAATTTTAAAAAAAAATTAATAATAATTTTAGTTTTTATTTTCAAAATTTTAGTCATATTTTATAAAATATGATACTTATTGATTTAGAGAAATCAAATACAGATAGATGTCATTTTTAACTTAGTCACACGTATTTTTATCAATCATATTTATAAAATACGATTAAAATTTTTGAAATCAAAACTAAAATTACATTTTTTTATCAAAGAAACGTTTATTAATATTTTTTAAAAATTTATAATTACTTGAAATTACATTTAATAAATATTTAATTAAAAATTTATCAAAATACCCTTACATTTAACATAATTAACTCCAACATTGAATGTTAGAATCAAAATATCACATTTTAAAGAGTTGAGGGATCAAATTGGTCCCTCAAAAGAGTTAGGGACTATTTTAGCCCTTCATAAAGAATTGAGGGACCATTTTCATCCTTTTCTCCATGTTAAAATAATTCAAAACATTCATTAGATATGATGATAAAATTATCTTTCTGGCATGGATATTACTTGGCCTAAGTCGTACACATTCAAACTCAATATAGCTGACTCTTCACATTTCGAGGCTTCATTATATTCAAGGTTCAAGTCCAATTTCAAGTTTTCCTTTTTTTTTTTTTTAAGAAAATTGAGAAAAAACTATTTAGTAAAAAAGTTTTCAGGATAATCTATTTAGCCAAGGCTTCAGTAAAGATTCAAATTCAATTTAGCAAAATCTATGAACTTCTATTTTTTTTTTTCCTTTCTATTTCTCTTTTAAGTTTATTCTATACTAGATAATAAGTTTTTGATATCCACCATAAATATATTTGGATCAAGCGTGATATTAAAATAAGATTTGATTAGTATATCACTTTAATTTATAATAACAATAAAATATCTTAAAATTAAGGTAAATTTTTAAAAACCAACACTATCTAAAATTATATAAACAAAAAAATGTAATTAGGAGAATTTATAAGGAGCTTAAACAATTAAATATTTTGCGATTTTTGAGAAAAGCAAAAAAAAATTGCATTTGTACAATAATTCAACATTTTCTTAATAAAATGCAAAATATTTTTTCGTTTTCTTTTTGTCTATCATGTGGGTGGCCTAGTTTATTATCCAATAATGCATGATTTATATAGAAAAATTCTATAAATTATTTTTTAGGAATTAAAAAATATTTTTTCTAAACATTTTTTAGCATAGAGATATTTCCAAATTAAATTACATTTAAAATAATAATAATTTTAATATTTTTCTAATATATATAGCCAAATAAAATTATGTAAGTTTATATTCATATTATTTTTGTTCTGGACTAGAATATACGCAGCGATAGAGTTAGAAAGTGTTCGTCTTAGAGTTGTACGGATATTCAGCACACAAACAAAAGATGAAAGAACACCATGATTTTTACGTAGAAAACCTGTAAAGAGAAAAAACCACGGGGCCACACCTAGTTGAAAAAGTTTCACGAATGTTTGCTTGAGATACTAAAGACTGACTCATCCATAAAAGTTAGGACGATCAGATTACAATGAATCACTCCTGGATTGAAATCCAGTTACAATGTCGGGCAGAGTTCCGGCGTTACTTGAAGATCGGGTAGAATTCCGGCTTCGTTTGAAAGTTGGACAGAATTTTAGCGTTACTTGGGCGAAGTTTCGTCGTCGAGCGGAACTCCGGCGTTACTTGGGCAGAATTTTGGCGTCCTGTGGAAGTTGGGCAGAATTCCGGCGGTGGTCGAGAATGAGCTTCTACCCTCCAATTCTTCTTCTCTTCTCTTCTCCTTCTCTTCTTGTTCTTGCTTGGGTCGCCTCTCAAGAGAAATGAGTTGTCTATTTATAGATTTCTGGAGTGGCATAGCTCGTAAATAGGTGAGAGATCTGGGGTAAATGGGGAGTGGTTGGATGGACATCCCATATTGAATCCCTTGATCTTGTATCGTTCGTCAGACATTTGAAGATCTTAATGACGTCGGAATTCGGCGATCTTGGGCTCGTTGGATTCGTTTCGTCGAGCCGCTCGATTCGACTATAAGCACATTATGTTTAGAAACTGTTTGGTAACTCAAAATCTCAAATTGTGGTTCTAGCTTCTCAACAATGCTTCGGGTCCTTGATTTGGACTCATTTGGGTTCGGTTTGAGTCAAATTTGGTGTCGTTGGGTAAATAAAATAAACAAATTATGGCCTTTACTTAAGAAAATGCAAAAATATTTTGTGTTCTCTTAAAAAATCATTTTTTTTTTGTGAGTTTTCTTGAAAAACACAAAAATATTTTATACTTTCTTAAGAAAATATTGAATTACAATGCAAAGAAAAAATATTTTTGCATTTAAAAAAAAACATAAAATATTTTAATATTTAAACCCCTTATTAAATTTTCTCAAAATTAAAATTTTTTTATTATTTAATTTAATCTAATGCTCATTTTTAAAACTTAGCCTAAAATTAATGGGGTGATAGATATAATATAAATTTTCTATAATTCAAATAAATATCGAAATTGAGCTCTCAAAAAATTATTCAACAGACCAAAACTAAATAAAAAAAAAAAAGAAAAGAAACAGGAGTAAAGGCAAAACAAGCTGAAAAGCGAATTGATATACTAACCGAAGCAAAGTCGTGGCCGGGGAGAAGGCCGTTGATCTCGGTGAACAGGGAACCGAGGGCCATTGGCTGCTTCTTTACAAGGAACTCACATGCCGCAGCGACGGCCTCAAGCGCAGAGGGCTGGTCCTCGGCAGTGACGGATGGAAGCACGGGGGCCTCCCCCCAGCCGGTGCCACCGCACCGCAGCTCCACGCGCACCGCCACGTTTCCCACCGCGTCGAGTCTGGAGGACGCGATCGTGAACGGTGCGATCAGCGGCACGTTGAGGGGCCGGCCCTCGGCCCGGCTAACGTCCACGGAGAACGTCGCTTTTAGGGCTTCGAATCCGCCGTCGATCATCGTGTCGTCCAGAGCACGGCCGGCGGTGAATCTGAGGCGGCGTCGGAGGGGAACGATTAGGGTTTTAAGAGCGAAGGGGAAGAGAGAGGAGGAGTGAGGGA